TTGCTGCTACGCATTTTGAATTATCAAGGACAAGCTCAAAGTTCTTCAAGGATGCTACCACTCCCTCTCACAAGTTTATTTCTCATCGACATGGTGAGAAATGTTCTCTGACCTCCAAGAGTGAGAGGAAGATCTGAAATGGTCAATCCACTCTAAGTTTCCCACAGCCATTGGACCCTGTTTTCCACAGTACACCCAAAGGAGACCTTACTTACTGTAGGCCACCTACACTCCATGTTCCTGCCAACTAACTAAACGAATTGTGAGAACCAGCCTCACAATTCATTTAGTTAGTTGGCGGGAACATGGAGTGTAGGTGGCCTACAGTAAGTTGGCAGAAATCAAAAGATGGTGATGCATCATCTTTGCTTAGTGGGAAAAGATCAACGACTTCAGCCTGATTCATGTTCTACCCATCACTATCCCACATTTAGTATCCATTCCCATACATGTCTTCAGGATTTCTGGGTAAATTAGGAAAAGCATTTTTCAGTGCAGTTCAACTCTCCACTGGCACATTGTCCTTCAAAGGCTGACTGGGAGTTGTATCTCGTTGTAGATCTAGAGGTACAAAGGGATGTTGGGACTGAGACTGAGAAGAATTGGTTGTCTTGCCAGGCAGCGGCCTCAGTGGATGCCACTGCCATTTCCTCAGGCACTTTGGGGGAAGGCTTCACGTCAACTAAGTCAGGAAACCCTGATCTAGTCTTTAGATTTCAGGGTCTTCTTCTCACATGCCCCTGTGATTTTTATTGTTTACTTGAAATACAAGTTCTCCCCATCAGTTTCTGTTACTCCCAGTGGGTACTAAGCACTTCCAATAGCTGTCAGTGCTCTGCACAATCCCAGATTCTCAGTGTCCTCTGCAGTCCCCTCGGGGACACTGTCACCACACTCCCAGGTGACATGATAATCGCTGCCAGCAAGGAGGTGACGTTTTGCAGTCCTAGACCTCAATATGAGGTTCAGTGTCTCACCCACACACTTGACACATGCTGCCTCCGCATCCCGGTCCTGGGAGGAAATCTAATATGGTAAGTAGCTTTTCCCTTTGGGGAAGGATCAGAATCTTAGGAAGTATTTTTCTCAGGAAAGCCAAGATTAACTTGTCTTAAAAATGTTTTGCTTTTCTGAGATTGGAAACAAAAACCTTAGGTAGATAATAGAAGTCAGATGACAGATTAGTGATGGACGGTACATGGACGGTGAATGATATATAGATGATAGGTGTTACATAAATGATGGATGATACCTAGAAGGTAGAGGATAAATGATGCATAGATGATGACAGGTGATAGGTGTGAATGATACACAAATGATACATGATACATAGATGGTAGATAAAGGACTGATGAATGCCCAAACACATTCAAGAAGCAAATGCTAAGGGAGGAGAGGCATGTGGCCACTCCAGTGAGCTCTTAGGGCTGCCTGGCATCTCCCTTCTCTCCTCTCAGATTCTTTCAGAAACTGCTCCCTCTTCTCACTCAACACATGGCCTGTAACAGGACTCTGGCTGAAGCCCTCAGGATGCAGACACGCTTTAAGTAAGGAGATAAGGGGGTGAGCTCCCACTTTGAGCAGACATGGAGAGCCTGTGTGGGAGTGGCTGCAGGTGTGTGGATGTGCCTGTTGCTGTTTTCTGCTTATTTTGTGATTGTTCTGTGCAGGGTATGCTGTGCCCAATGGAGTCTTTAATAACGTGCATCTAATTTTCTAGCATCCATGGAATGCTGTTGTCCACATCCCCTGTTTAGACAAGTGAAAGGCTCATTTGTCTCTTGGTTTTAAAGTGAAAACTTTATGTAAAGACAAGTATGGAAAAATATTGTGAGTTAAGGAATCAAGAATGATGAGAACCTTATCCTGACATTTAGCAAGATTTTAAAGGGGCCCGGCAATTCTCACTCTCACACTAATCCATACTCTCTACCCTGCAAGGGCCTCCACTGCCACATAATGGATCCATTCCTGTGTCTATTATCTGTCAAGTATCTCTTAGTTGTCCAGTGGTTTCACCTCAGTGACACATCCCACTTAGAAGATGGCTCTTCTTTTATACAGAAACCAAAATCTGTATAAAAGAATATCCCCTTATGAGATAAGATACCCTTATGAGATAAGATACCCTTATGAGGACCAGTCAAGCCTCTACTCTGTGGCTCCTCCTGCGTCTCCATAGAACCCCAATCAGAGACATGATGAGTTCCTATGTCCTGTGACTCAGTGTAGGTCTCGGGGTCCACAGCAATCCTTAGCAATGCCAAGATTTCGGTTTCGAGGCTCATGCAGACACAAAGTTCCCACCGCAAGTCTGCAGACCTGCATTTCTCTAACTTCACTTTTTAAGCCCTCTTGATGATGCCACCTCATCCTTTCTTGAATCCTGTCACCTACTTTACTTATAGTTCTGTAACTATTTTCATTACACTAGTGACTCCCTATTTTCTCACTTTATCCTTAAATGGTATTGTGAAATCATAATCATGATATAGGTGTCTGAAAAAGCTCACAGGTGAACAAAGTTGAATCATCACACTGGTAAAGTACTCCTCTTCTCCCTTAGCAAGCCACCACCTCAGGGAAGGGACACTGCTCACAGCTCTGAAGACTTCTCCCAGGCCAATTTCTTCTGTGTGCAAATTGTTTGTGATCTCTGAATCTCACTCTTAGGGGACCCATTGTGAGTGACCTTGTGGTGCAGCTGCTGCCCGAGGTCCTGCTGGATGTCCACGGCAGCATGACCACTCCAGCTGGACTAACTCTCCCCACCCAGGTAGCAATGTATTAAGAACCTTTACCCCACATCCTCACCGACATTTATTGTTATATTTATTTTTGATAATTGCCATTCTAACTGTAGTCAGGTGGAATCTCAATGTAGTTTTGATTTGCATTTCTCTAATTGCTAGAGAGTTGAATCTATTTTTATATATTTTTGACCATTCAATTTTCTTCTTCTGTGAAATTTCTGTTTAATTCCTTCCTTAGCCCATTTATTCATTTTTTTTTGTTTGAGGTTTTTTTTTTTTTTTTTTTTTTGGGGTGTTAAGGTCAAAAACTTGCGTTCTTTGTATATCCTGGACATTAATGCTCTATCTGAGGTGCTAGTGGTAAAGATTTTCTCCCATTCTGTAGGGTCTCTCTTCATGTTCTTGTTTCCTTTGCTGGGAAGAAGTGACTTAGTTCGATAGCATCCCATTGATTGATTCTTGATTTTACTTCTTTTGCTTTAGGAGACTCGTTAAGGGAGTCAGTTCTCAAGCCAACGGGATAAAGATTTGGACCTGCATTTTCTTCTACTACATGCAGAGTCTCTGGCCTAAATGTCTAGGTCTTTGATCCACTTTTGAGTTTTGTGCTGGGTGAGAGTTAGAGGTTCAATTTCACTCTACTACATATGGATTTCCAGTTTTCCCAATCTTTTCTCCAATATATGTTTATGGCACCTTTGTCTAGTATRAGATAACTGAATCTGTGTGGGTAGGACTCTGTCTTCTATTCTGTTCCAATCGACTTCATGTTTGTTTTTGTGCCAATATCATGTCATTTTCATTACATAGCTCTGTACTATAATTTAAGGTCTGGTGTTGTGATGCCTCCAGTGTCACTTTTCTATTTTTCCAAATAAATTTCATGACTGATTTTTCTATTTCTATGAAGAACATCATTGGAATTTTAATAGGAATTGCATGAAATCTGTATGGCACTTTTGTTAGTATGGCCATTTTAACAACATTAATTCTATCTAAGACTGGGAGATCCTTCCATCTTCTAAGGTCTTTTTCAGCTTCTTTAGTGTCTGTTGTTTTCATTGTGAATGTGTTCACCCCTTCTGTTAGATTCCCAAATATTTTTTGAGGCTATTATGAATAGGACAGTTTTCGTGATTCTTTCAGCTATTCATCATTGGTGTATAGGAATACAACAGATTTATGGGTGTTAATTTCATATCCTTTTAGTTTGCTGAATTCATTTACTAGGTCTAGAAGTTTCCCGGTGGAGTTTTTTGGGGTGGTCTTGTCATCAGCAAATAGGGATAGTTTGAGCTCTTCTTTTCATATYTGTATCCCACTTTTTTCTTTTGCTTAATTACTCTGGCTGGAGTTTCAGGACCATGTTGAATAGGAGTGGTGAAAGAGGGGGCATCCCTGTCTTATTCCAGTTTTTAGAGGAAATGCTTTCAGTTTTTCTCTATTTAGAATGATGCTGGACTTGGGTTTAGCATGTATAGCTTTTACAATGTTGAGTTATGTTCCTACTATCTCTAGTGTCTTAGTAGCACCTGGAGTAGTTCCATAGTCTGAAATATTTCTGTTTATTTGGTCCTTGAACTCCCTATACCTTTTATGGATAAATTTCTAGCCTGACCATGGATCTCAGTTCAGACCCTGAAATTAATGACCCTGGCCATCTGCATATTACAGTGCAGGTGGCCACCATAAGGCTTTCTTGGCTGCCCGACTCACTGAGGTCTAGCTCAGGAGACTGCTTCTTCAGCTGAGAAGTTGTCACCCCTGAGGCATCTCCAACTCTGCCGTGAATCCTCTCTTCTTCTTTTTTATTGGGGGGGGGGGCGCAGTGCTGGGATTGAGCTCAGGGTTTTGTGCATGCAAGACAAGCACTTTACCAACTGAGCTATATCGCCAGCCCTGAATCCTCTCTTAACAGCAGGAAGCAAGAATAATTTCCTGCCATGGCCAGAAGTCAAGAGTTTCCAAGATTGTTTCCATCTTTTGGCTGCTCACCAAGCACCTCCCAGGGGTTTCTGCCCCCAGAGCTACTAGCTCACCTGAAGCTGGGAAGAGGATCCCCCACTCTTCCACTCTGTTCCGTATCTCACAAATAGTGGAATTTTGTCCTCCAAAACACATATGTGGAAGTTCTAACCTGAAGGATCTCAGAATGTGGGTGTGTTTAGAAATAGGCCTTTAAAAAGGTAATGTAAAATTTAGGTGAGATGGTGGGGCCCTAATCCAATCTAACTGGTATCTTTTWAAAAAAAAATGGAGTGCTTCACAGATTTGTATGTCATCCTTGTGCAGGAGCCGTGCTGATCTTTTCTGTATTGCTGCGATTTTAGTATACGTGTTGGCAAAGTCAGCAGGTGTGGAGCAGCAGACTCTCAGCAATCCAGGACAGTGTCCCAGACCTTGAGAAGTGCAAGATCAAAGGTCAGATGATGGGAAAGAGTATGGCAAGTTCATGACTCCTAGGTTGGATGCAGTGAGCCAGGGGAGAACAGAAGAGGAGGAAACAGAAGTGGTTGAAAGATCAGATAGATTAAGAAGATCCCTACAGGCTCTGTTGGGGTGGGGAGCCCTGGACAAGGAGACCTGGTCATTCATCAATAATTTCCAGAGAATAATCAATGTACCTGTCCAGTCAGGATAGAGTAGTAACTGGCACTCACATGCAAGGGCTAGAATAAACAAGCAACTAAATAAATGAGCAAGATAATTTCAGATAATCTAAAGATTCAGAAGACAAGGATCAAATGAAAGAAAATAAAGAGATTATGGTTAATAATAAATGGGACCAACAGTGATGGCCTCTTCTAGGGAGGAACACTGGAGGGAGTCTAACATGAAGAGAGGAATGAGAAAGTTAAAAAAAAAAAAAAAAGACAAGTCCCAACAATGATCAGGTCTACACAGTTACAGAGGTGACGGGGAGTAACCCAGTGCTCAGTCCAAGGACATGATGCTCTGGAACACCATCATCAGTGAACTTTTTAATGGACTTACTTTCTACCTCTGATAAATGCCTCAAGCAGGAAGGTAGATTCACTATTGTCTCAATTCACTGTTGCCACTCAGTGCCATCTGTCCTAAACTGAAAGGGAAATTTGACAGCCTACCTTGCTAGCTTTTCTGCCCTCCCACAGCAGTGATTCCAAAAATGCTAACATGTCCTCCCAGACCTCGGGGCCTTAGCTTTGTAGAGTCAAGATGCCAGGGTGGCTCAAGTGTCACACTCCTTCTGGGGCGACCCCAGGACTGCAAAGCAGACCAGGAAAGTGAAGGAAGAATTAAAGATAGGCAGGCAATGTAGATAGGCAGTTGGGTCAGATGGTGAAGATGGAGGCCAGTTTGGGTCTGGGAAGCTGAAGACGCCTCCCCCATCCTTACCAAGGTAACCTGTCCCAGGAACTGTCCCTCCATACAGGGAGCTGTAAAAGTTGTTAAATAATGCCTCCTGAGCTGCCACCTGCTGGATCACTCTGCTTGGCCCCTGCAGCCCATCTGCTTCTCACGTTTTGGCCACCCCACTGAATCTTCTGGGCCTAGTCATGTATGCAGGAAGGAGAGAGATACGGGAAAAGAGAGCAGGAGAACAAAGAAAGTCTAAAATGTATAAAAGGGGCAGGATGCACTCACTTTGGGGTTCACCAGGACACCAGCCATGGCCCCTTCTCCTTCCCTGGAAAAGCCTGTGTCACTGTTTTTAAAGTAAACCCTGCTTTCTATGCTCGCCTCAACGCTCTCTCCAATGTTCAAACATCAACACTTGAGGAAGCGGAGTTGGGCCGTTGATAACTGGTACCGAGCGCACCCCCGTCGGGGCGGCGTGCAGGCCCCTGGCCGTGCTGGGCGCTCGGGTGCACCCCTCTAGTGCTCAGCCGGAAAACGTCCACACTCCCACTTTCCGCCCGCGGGAACGGGAACGCAGGGGAGGCCTGCTCGAGGACACGTCCCCGGGAAGGGGCGCCGTGGAACCCCGAGGCCGCCGGCGCCCCACGGAGCCGCGGGGCCCAGCAAGGACAGCCTGCCAGCCCGGCTGGTGCCGTCCACCTCCGGCGGGAAGGGCAGGCGACACGGCGAGGCTCGCCAGGGTCTCCAGGGCTGCCGCCATCCGCCCTCAGGGCGCGGACCCTGCAGCTCCGACTCGCCAGCTTTGGCTGCCGCCGGCCTCCGTCCCCCTGAGAGGACCACAGCACCAGATCCGTCGCCGCGGCCCAAGACCCGGAAGCCCCGCCCCACCCGCGTCGCGCCTGCTGCCTTCTGGGTAGTGCGGTAATTGCCCAGCTTCCGGCCCGGCGGGGACTTCCTTCCGGTTCCGCTGACCCGCGGTTCCCAGGTCCGCYGCAGGGGCCACCGAGTTCCGCTCCACCCCTTCCGCTCGCCCTCTTCTCCCCGGAAGCGCCGACATTTGTGCTCGCAGATGGCGCCGGGAGTCCCACATAGACTGTCTAGCTCTGAAGGCTGGTGGTCACAGCGACAGAAAGGCTAAAACAAGATGATGGTTGAGATTAAGAAAAAATCTGTTTATATCGCAAGATTTCTAGAAAGTTTGAACAACCAACGTTTGTTGATTGAATATGGGGTATGAATAAAAGAGAGAGGTCAAGGAAGACCCCAAGATTCTTAGCATAAGTGGCTTAAAAGAATGACGTCGCTGGGCTGGGTTTCGATCCTCAGGACCAATAAGTAAATCAATAAAATAAAGGCATGCTGTCCATCCCCAACTATAAGTGAAATCGCCATCGTGAGAGACGGAACCGGCTCAGGGGAGCAGGTGTGATGGCAGAGCTCCAGCGTCCCACGTGTGTAGGACTTCAGTTCTAGTGGCCTCGGGGTGACTGATGCAACAAAATAGAGTTTAAAACTGTATGTGTAAAAAGACGTAGTTAAAATAAGTAGAAATTAAACAATTCAAGAAGTAAATATTCTATTTATAGCTGCATGGGACAAAGATTCTTATTCTGAATGCAGGTGAGGTCAAATGTAGAATAGAGTAATACTTTAAAAAGGGTGGTCACACCAGATTTCCTGGTTGTGTGTTCTGCGTTGTTTTTTCCTTTTCTTTAGTGGTATTGGGGATTATACTCCGCGGCATTTTACCACTGAGCCACATCCCCATCCCTTTTTTTCTTTTAATTTTGAGACAGGGTCTCAGTTGCTTAGTGCTGAGGCTGGGGTCGACCTTGCTACTCCTCTGCCACAGACTCCAGAGTCATGGGGATTACAAGCATGCGCCAAACCAGGCATCAGATGCTGTTGATGGAACAAGTGGGTAAGTCCTATTGTAAAACTTTAAAAATTCATATTATTTTGATACCTCAACATCTCCCATCAGGCTGTGAGCACCCATCCCAAGTCATGGAATGTATCCATGTGATAAGGCTGGCCCCTGCCACAAACTCCCCTGTCCAGCTCTCCTGTGACATTCAAACCCACCAGGAAAAACTCTTCCGTCTTTTTACTTGCAATACACCTGGCTACCCCACTACCACTAGCTCCACACATGCATTTTCCACGGACCCACCCGTTCTCAGATCCTTACCTGCTTTGCTTTGTGTCAACCACCAACACCTCCCCTCCCCTAGTCTTCTCCCATGTTGTCCCTCTGGTGTGCTGTGACCCCTGTTATAGGACCTGTGAGTTATCATAAACCATTCCCTTCTTTTCTATCTGAATGTTAATTGCAGAATAAGTGGTCCTAGAAGACCCAACAAGGACCCCCTCTCTGCCCCCACAGAATATCATTACTTCACTTTGATACAAAATTCTTGTGCTCAGAGCTGTGAACTAATAAATATTTTGTTGCTCCTTTAAAAATTTTTGAACCTAGGGGCACTTTACTGCTAAGCTATTTGCTGAGCTACTTCCCCAGCCATTTTTTWATTTTGAAACAGGATCTTGCTAAATTGATAGGCTAGCTTCCAATCTGTGATTCTCCTGCCTGAACCTCTCAAGTCAATGGGATTACAGATGTGCTCCACCAGCACCAGCCTTTGTTGCTCTTCAAAATACTGGGCCGCAGCTTTGCCATCAGTCTTGTGAGCTTCAGTACCTTGAGTCAGAGTCAAGATAGAATGCACACTGGGATTACCATTGGGGAGAAAACTTTCATGAAAGGTGGAAAGTACTAAAAATACTAAAAAATAAGAGAATGAAATAGCATGAGAGCAGGTATTTAGGCTGGGACCTTGGCCACTGAAGATTTTGTACTCAAAATTCAATTTTTTAAAGTTTTTTGAAATACTGAATGACATTTCTAGGAGAAAGAAGATATTGAGAAACAGTTTCCAATGGGGCAAAAAGGAACAAGGAATTAGGGCCTTCATGTCCATTCACTGCTCCAACATGTTTATTAAGTACTCACCAGACTTCAAGCACTATTGCAGGTGCCTGGGACACACCAGAAAACAAGAGAGACAATGACTCCCACTCTCACAGGATTTTGCTTTGTCTTAGTTCAAGTTGCTAAAACAAAATGTAATAGGCCAGATGGCTTAAAAAATAAGAACTTACTTATCATGGTCTAGAGGCTGGAAGTCCAAGAAGAAACACCAACCATTTTGGTTTCTGGTGAGTTCCCTTAGGTAGTCAACTCACTGTTACTACACAAAAATTCCTGAGATTATCAACTTACAAAGAGGAAATGTTTATTTTGGTTCATAGTTTTGGAGATTTCAGTCCATGATTGATCAGCCCCACTGCTTTCGGAAGGGAGCATGTGGTATAATGAATCTGCTACAGCAATATTGTGTGTGTGTGTGTGTGTGTGTGTGTGTGTGTGTGTGTGTGTGACAGATCAGGCCCTGCAGCATCCCATGTGTCACTCTAACCTCTATTCTGTATTGGTGTGTTTGTGTGATCAAAATTGCTACAGTGTGTCAGCACCTCTACTGTGCTTCACTGGTCCCTAGTGTGCACTGCACATAGCAGGTATAAGCCTCATCTCTGTCACATTTGTTTCCTACTGTGAATGCTTGTGAAAGTGCAGGCAGTGCTGAGGAATGTTGGCTTCACCCACTGTCACACAGGGTCTCTTTCACTATATCTGTAGGCTGTGCTGTGGTGAAACTATCACATGCAGAATCACACTTCAACGCTATTTTGGACACTTGGAACATGGAGTACCTGAAACATTTCTGTGTTTCCAGATGTGATATAGTGTGCTAGCAAAACTCACTTACACTGAGTGGTTTGTTGCTGTGTCACTGTCATACACCTACCCCTAGGACCAGACCGCAATTGCCTATTTTATTAATACCTACACAAGAAATACGGGAGAAGGGCTAAGATGTTGAAAAGCTTCACAGATGCACCCAACCAACCCAGAAAGTGGATTAGTAGAAATTGAGCTGACATGACTACTAAGTTGCACAGGTATATTTTGGATCTACATGCCTTAAGAATAACCTTTTCATTTTGGTACCATGAATAGAACTAGTGGCACTTAACCACTGAACCACATCCCAAGCACTATTTTTTTTATTGAGACGGGGCCTTGCTAAGTTGCTGAGGCTGCCTTTGAACTTGTGATCCTCCTGCTTCAGCCTCCTAAACTGCTGGGATTACAGGCTTATGCCACCATGCCCAACAAGAACACATTTTTGATAAAATTGAGATAATTGAGCAGTGGGTACATAATTTATGATACCTCAGATATTTGTTGAAAAAGTTATAAGGAAAAAGGAGCATTATGTTTTAGAAATGTTCTCTGAATGGGTTAGGCATTGGATCATAACACGTTGGGAGTATAATAATGCAGTGATGTGCATGGTGAATAGTAAAATAATAATAGGCATGAAATAATCAATACTGATGGGATTTGGGAGAAGGGTATATAAACTGCATGTCACACACCTTTCCATGGGTACATACTTGGAAATATCCATTTTAAAGCATAGAGTGTCACTGAATCAATTTTGTGCAAAGAGGGAATGGGTTGAAAAGAACAGGGCAGGCTCAGCATGGTGGTACATGCCTATAATCCCAATGACTTGCAGGTTGAGGCAGGAGGATCATGGTTCAAAGCCAACCTCAGTAACTTAATGTTACCATACCACCAACTAAAAAATAAAAAGGGCTTGAGATGTGGCTCATTTTCTAAGTGCCACTGGGTTCAATCCTTTTCCCAATAAATAAATAGGGAAGAAACTTTTGGTTTTAAGTGTGTTTCAAACACAAATTGTATACATTAAATATGCAGRATTTGGGGCTGTGGTTGTGGCTCAGTGGCAACACTTACCTGGCATGTGTGAGGCACTGAGTTTGATCCTCAGCACCACATAAAAATGAATAAAATAAAGGTATCATGTCTTGCTACAACCAAAAAAATTTTTTAAATAAATATACAGATTTACTGTGAAAAATTTAAACTTCAATAAAGCTATTTTATTGTTTACTTATGTTTGACATGGGGTATCACTATTGTCACAGCTGCCTCCAACACCTGGGCTCAAGTGATTCTTCTGCTTAAACCTTCCACATGTTGGAAATACAGACATGTACCAACATGCCTGACAATAAAGCTATTTTAAAAAACAAAAGGTATATATACCAAAAACTCTGACTTCATAATTGGTCTGTCATATGCTCTTGACACTATTTTTGAGTATCCTCTCAGTGTGGTATAAATATAACACAGTGATGTGCTACTGCACATCTCTTCCCCGTCCCATGTAAAGCGACCTCAGCTTGGCAACTTGGGAATGGTGGGAATATTCACAGCAGGGAAACTGACAAACACTAAAACAGAAGTTTATCTGTTTCATTGAATGGGTAGACTTAAGAACATTTTGAAGAATATGTTAATAATGCAGATTAGGCTTGAAAATGGTTTGGACTGTCACAATATAAATGGTGCAGAAGAGTTGTTGAGAGCCACAGCTGAAGCGGCCCCAGCAAACTTCCAGCTGATTGGCTCACCGCAGAGGAGCCCAGCTGGAAGTTTGCTGGGGCCGCTTTGGTGCAAAAAATATTGTTCTAAGATTTAAAGATGATCTTCATAAAGCAAAAAAGCACTCATGGGACTGACTGAAGACCAAATGAAGTTACAACACGTCTTTTCTATACATATTTATTTTCAATGAAAACAAGAATACGAATCAATATCCATTAAAAGTAGACTAAGGGTATTAACAAAGATTTTTAAGAAAAAAGGATATAAAGGTGGCAAATAATAGGTGAAAAAAGCTGTTCAACATTACAGAACATCACAGAAGTGCAATTACAACCACAGAGAAATGACATTACAGACTTATTTGCATGGCTAAAATTTAAAACATCAACCCTACCAAGCAGAAACTTGTCAGGGATGAAGAATGTTCACACACTGCTGTTGGGATCACAATGGACACAACCTGCTTAGGTTACAGTTTGCCATGTTTTTTGGTTTGTTTGTTAAGTGGGACATTCACTTGAAGTTATTGGCAAAAGAGAAATGTATTTCCTTATTAAAAATTTATACCTATGTTCTTTGCAACTTTGTGAATACCCCAAATTGGAAAAAAAAATTACCTACCCCTTAACAGATCAATAAACAAATAGTGGTATGTCCATAGAACAGAATACTATGTAGCAATACAAAAGGTGCCAACATCAATAAAGCTAAAAGTAATGATACTGCATGAAAAATACAAGAAAAATCAAATAATTTGATTCTTCTCATGTAAAACTGTAAAAAAAAATGCAAACTGATTCATAGTGAAAGAAAGTAAATCACTGGACACCTGAAGGCCTGAGGAAGGCAGGGAGATTATATGAGATAATTCTGGAAACGTTCATTATTCAGATCAGGAATACTTCATGGGCTTGTGTGATAAACTGGTTCAGATTATGTGTCTTAAATGTATACTGGTTATTGCAGGTCAACTGTGCCTCAGTGTGTGTGTGTATAGATAAAGAGAGTAAAAGTCACCCAAGTTTTTGGAAACCAGGCATGCCAACCACCTGTTCACTCCAGTACCTCCTTCCTTGTGCCTAGAGAAGGGCAGCCTTAAACTGGGCAGGAAAAAATGGTGAGCAATGAAAGCTATACTGAGACAGGAGCAGTTGCAGTTGCCTGGCCACAAAAGAGGGTGGGGGGAACAGCTTTTTTACCTCTCAGACAGGAACTTCCTATCTCCCCGACTCCACTGCATGTAGGATCTTTCTCCAATCCCTTGCTTTTTTTGGCCTCCTCCTGCTTTTTTTTTTTTTTTTCTTTTCCCCATTTAGACTTAGGTGAACAGCCCAGAAAAACGATGGGAACCTGACAAGAGCATGAGTATCTACCGATAATGATCCTGATCACAGTGGAACATAGATTTGGAAGTAGCATGATCTGTTAGTCCTAGGATCTGGGGTACACTTTTACAAGTAACACGTTCTGTCTGCCAGCCCTCCACTCCACTGATCACGCCATGTACTTCTGTTCCAAGTGGTGTTCGTACCTGGTTCCTGCGCTCTTGTATCAGTGATGCTGACCTATGGCATCATGGATGTCAGACTGCATGACTATAGAACCCAATGAAGTTTCCCTTAACAATATTGAGTTTTATGGGAAGTTATGTGGGAATAATGAAATAAATTCAGAGTATTTCTGAAAGTACTGAACATGGCCATAACAACTGACACCTCTTCAAGGTGATCTCTGATCTAAAACAAAAACAAATTCAGAGGCATCGAGGCTCCAAACTAGGACCCCAAAGCCCTGCACTGCTCCAGTGGGGGTCTTGGGTAGTAATTCATGTTAAACAAAACAGAAAGAGAACCACTCTCTGCCACTAAGTTCTTTACTGAGACACAAAATGAAGAGGTCCTATAAAAGCTGTCCACAGTGGGGGTCTTGGGTAGTAATTCATGTTAAACAAAACAGAGAACCACTCTCTGCCACTAAGTTCTTTACTGAGACACAAAATGAAGAGGTCCTATAAAAGCTATCCATCTTTTAATACAAACAGGACCCATCCATATTCTACCCACCCAAGGCTGTGAACAGAACCCCCTGATTAAAAGTAGATCAAACAAAAGGCCTTTATTAGTCCACAAATCAGAGCAATGTTCAACAGGAAGCTACTGGTTAGTAACTTGAAATCTGTAATCATCAACTACAAGTGTCACATGAGGCCAAGAATTCAATGAAGACTTCCCAAGCCTCCAGGTGAGCCCGGGCTGGGTCCCCTTAACCAGAACACAGACACACAATAGTAAGAAAAATACTCTCATGGATCAGGTTATTGGAGATTTCCTCTAGAGAAGGGGAGAACACAGGCATCCGAGTCTGTGTGTGCTGAGGTGCTTGGGGCTAGATGGGAGACAACTTCTGTGAGAATGTGGCTGTGATTCAACTTTGATGAGGGCAGCAGTCTAAAATGTTCAGAGCAGCTCCCATCCTCCTCACATGTGCCGCAACTCACAGGGTCCTTCAGCCCTCTGGAAGTGTGCAAATACATGTGGTGACCTCTTTATAAAAGCTCTCTAGTGCTGTCACAGTGAGCAAAGACAGCATATTCCTTTGCAGGTTTAAGGCCTTTCTTGCATGGGCTTTCAGAAACTAAGCAACAGGAGACCTTGGGCTGAGGGATTCCCCATATCTGCTGCCTCTGTGAGGCATTCCCATGGTGTGACATTTTTGGTGTTGAAAGAAGCTTGAGCGTTGGCTAAAAGATTTCCCACATTTGCTGCATTCATAAGGCCTTTCTCCAGTGTGAACTACCTGATGTTGAATTAAAACAGACTTTTGCCTAAAAGATTTCCCACACTGGTCACACTCATATGGTCTTTCTCCAGTATGGATTCTGCAGTGTTGAATAAGGCTAGTGCTCCGACTAAAGGTTTTTCCACATTCCCCACACTTATAAGGCCTTTCCCCAGTGTGAACTCTCTGGTGTTTAACCAGGGCAGCTCTTCGACTAAAAGATTTTGCACACTGGCCACACTCATAAGGTCTTGCTCTAGTGTGAACTCTCTGGTGTTCAACGAGGCTGTAGCTTTGCCTAAAGAACTTCCCACATTCAGCACACTCGTAAGGTCTTTCTCCAGTGTGAGTTCTCTGGTGTCGGTCAAGTTTGGATTTGTATCCAAAGGACTTGCCACATTCCCCACATTCATAAGGCCTTTCTCCAGTGTGAACTCTTTGATGTCTAATGAGTGTAGCTCTTTGGCTAAAAGATTTCCTACACTGGCCACACTCATAAATCTTTGTTGTAGTGTGAATTCTACGGTGTTCAATGAGGCTAAAGTTCTGTCTAAAGAATTTGCCACATTCCCTACATTCATAAGGCCTTTCTCCAGTGTGAATTCTCTGGTGTCTAATGAGGGTGGCTCTTTGACTAAAAGATTTTCCACATTCGCCACACTCATAAGGCCTCTCACCAGTGTGGATTCTGCAGTGTTCAATAAGGTTGGAGCTTTGGCTAAAGGATTTCCCACACTCCCCACACTTATATGGCCTTTCTCCAGTGTGAACTCTCTGATGTATAATGAGAGTAGCTTTCTGACTAAAGGATTTTTCACATTGGCTACACTCATAAGGCCGTGCTGCAGTGTGAATGCTCTGATGTTCAACGAGGCTAAAGCTCTGTCTAAAGAATTTCCCACATTGGCCACATTCATATGGCTTTTCTCCTGTATGAGTTCTCTGATGTCGAACAAGGTTAGATTTGCACCCAAAGGCTTTTCCACATTCATCACACTCATAAGGCCTTTCTCCAGTGTGAACTCTGCAGTGTTCAATGAGGTTTGAGCTTTGACTAAACGATTTTCCACATTCACCACACTTGTATGGTTTTTCTCCAGTATGAACTCTCTGGTGTGTAATAAGGGTGGCTTTTTGGCTAAAAGATTTTCCACATTCACTGCATTCATAAGGCCTTTCTCCAGCATGGACTCTCTGGAACGGAACAAGTGAGTATTTCTCTTGGAAGGCTGTTCCACATTTGCTAGCATCAAAACCCCCTTTTCCAGTGCAGACTCTTAGATGACGAATAAGTGTGTGTTTGTGGCTGGAAGTGTCTCTGCATGCTCCTGACTTACAATGATTTTTCCCACAGTGAAAGGCCTCCCCACACTCTCTGACTATGTTTGGCTTCTCACCTTTGGGAATGGCCTGGGGCTGAAGAATGCCCCACTTATCAGGGAAGTCCTTTCCAGTCTTGCCACAGAGGAAAGGATTCCCTGACACATGGAATATGCAGCTCTTCACAAAGGAGGCACTGTTCACTTCTCTTTTTAATGTGTTCTCTGCACTTTGATGTTTCTGTTCCTGGTGAAGGTTTTCACAGGCCCCAGAAAAGTACAGTTTCTGTCCAGGTAGATCATCCAGATGCAAAATATTCTTCAGGACTAGTATACAAATGTCACAGGGGTGAGTCTTTTGGAAAGATGGACTTTGTTTTGGAGTCCTGATGTGTGATGCTTCTTCTGCAGAAACCCTTGGCCCAGGAGGTATCCTTTCATCCTCTGCTTCATGCCAATAAACTGAAAAGAGACATAGTGATGAAATGCATGTGGACTGTGGTGACAGTGTATTAACCATGATTTAAGATTTTTTTTTTTCTGTATGATTTTTTTGACATTTTTATAAAGTGCTGCTGGTCAGGGACACTGCCCCTCCCTATAGGGCTATCCAGTTCTTAACAGACAGCAAAGAGCTCAACTGAGAGATAATGCAGTTAATACACTAGTTATTCAATCCAGAGCCAAACCAAATCCTGCAGACCATGTTTCCCTGGCTTATACACCCCAGGAGAACAACCCTCAGCCCTAACTATCCTGGGACCAGGTACTGACAATTAAGGCCAGTTCCCTTTCCCAGAGTCCACTGAAATTATTCCAACACACCCATATGAGATGTTTCTATCCTTTATTGACTTTGCTACAAACCCAATAAAGGCTGTGCCCTAATATTCCCCTCTTGCTTTTGCCTCCTGACCACCTGTTGCTTACACACACCACCCTGCAAAGTGCAATGCACCTCTTTCTCTCAGAACTGTCATAAATTCCCCTTTCAATGGCATTTACTTCTCCCTATTGGCCCTCAGTCACCTCTTATAATTAAAATCCACAGGTACATATTAAGAAAATGGATGCAGCAAGCAGGGTAGCCTGGGCCCTACAGCAGAGGTTCTGCTGTGATTACTGCATGGTTAGGCCATGACCATGTGCTGTCTGAGTGAGCACTGCTGACCACTGCTGTGCTTATACTTTGACTGGAACCTGTGTGGGCTGGGTCTTCCTTTTCTTGCTTCAGTTTTTTCAACCTAAATTGTTGCAGATTGACCCCACATTTTAGCACAGGGGAGGTTTTTGTGTTCCCAGTGTACCTGGGCCTAAATGCTTTAATGCAACGGGTGTCTCTAGGCCAGTGTGTTTCTGGGTATCTTATGGTAAGAAGGTAATGGGCTCCTGGTGTAGTTCCAGGAAGTCAAAGGCCACTGACTAGCCTACAAGGCGAGAAGCCTCCAGTGGAAACAAGGAAAGGCTTCCCTAAAGATCACCAAAAATGACTAGATGAGTCAGATTCACTGAGCAGACAGCAGATAGCAGGTCACCATGACTGATGGCAGCAATGAGCCCAAGGGGTGTTCCTCATTTATTGTACATCCTATTCTTTACCTTAGTAAAAGGTCAGTCTGGGCAAAAAAATTACTAGTTGACACCCCACTAGAATCATGACTGAATGTCTATGGCCTGGGACACTGCATGCTTAGTGGGCAATCTGTTGATTGCCCAGGGCCATCCCTACATACCACCCACTGGGTGCAGGTGCAGGGACCCCTTCCTACCACATGATCCAGGGAGTGCAGATGCTCCAAAGGCAAATCCTGGGGTTGCTTTAACCTGGTGCTATTATGCCTCATGGCAGGAAGGGTAGTTCCATGTTTGGAAACCTGCAGCTCAGTGTCTAATGAAAACATGGAAAAGGGCAAGGAATATTTATTTCACCTCCTCCTAAGACACTTGAGAAAATTTCTCAGCTCATTATATTATAAATCTTCTGGTTAGTGTGCTTGGGCACATTTAAGTGCTGCAACTTATTAACGTGGTAAGAATTTCCCTTCAAACTAAACAGTCAAAAAACAAAGAATTTGAAAAATAAGCTAAGCTTCTATTACTCTCCAGGATGTCAACTCAAGGTACTGCAAGGTCGATTAGAACACCCTAAGAGGGGTGACCTCCATCTTCAAGGTGCCATTCCTGCCAACAGAAGTGTTTCAGATAAGTATCCCACCTGACCACAGTGGGGTGGCACAGTTGACCATGCTGCAGGCAGAGGCCATCCAGGGAGAGGCTACTGCCTGCAGAACCCAGGCTCCTTCCCACCTCCTATTTGTCAGAAATGAAAACTATAAACCCAAAGCTTCAGGGAGCTAAAAGCCTAAAGAAGAAAATGAACAAAATATAAGAGAGAAAGGAAAAAGTCCATGAAAGCAAGAAAAACCCAACCTGCTAGGGATAGGGAGAAGATAATAATTAAATAAATTATTAATGTGTAAGTTTATATTTTCAATTTAAAAAATTAACAAAATTTTAAAAATTGCATTTGTCACAACCCCCCCTTGCTAAAATGGGGGGGTTAGTCTGCAACAATTTATAAAATGTCAAAAAAATCATACAGAAACAAAAATCTTGATAAATTATGATAATGTGCAAGTTTATATTTTCAATATAAATAGCAGAAAAATTGCATTTGTCACAAAATTAAAACCAAATTCCATAATTTTAACACAATTGTAAAGCCAAAACTTGCATATGAAAGAATGTAAACAAAAAGATGAAAGGACTGAAGGTATACCCTCAGTGATAGAGTGTTTGTCTAGCATGAATATGACCCTCCACTGGAAACAGGGAAAGGCTTCCCTAAAGATCACCAAAAATGACTAGATGAGTCTGATCCACTGAGCAGACAGCAGATAGCAGGTCACCATGACTGATGGCAGCAATGGGCATCTTATGGTAAGAATGTAATGGGCTCCTGGTGTAGTTTAATCCCCAGCACTGGGCTAGGGGGATGGATAAAGATTAGAAGGGTGTTGATGGGTATTTGTGCTTCTACAAATGATTCTAAATTAACTTTGGTATTTATTAAAAGGTATCAATTTGACAAATTTCACAAATCAATCATTATTGGGGCTCAAATTATACTTGGAAATTGCCCTCAATTTAAACACTGTACTTTCTACAATCTTAATAAAAGTAACCAAATATAAAATAGGAAGACAGGTATATCTCATTTCATTTTTAGTATTGTATAAAACTTCCTGATTTAGTATCCACTACCTGAAAATATTCCATATTGGACGTAGATGCTCTAACATATAAATAAGTTTAAAGTAAATCTTTGACACAAACTAGCTTAGCAAAATGGTGTTCCAAAGGCCCTCCATGTAAAACAGTTAATATAGACTGGGGATGTTTCTCAATGGTAGTGTGATTGCTTAACTTGTGCAAGGCCCTGGGTTTAATCCTCAGCATCAACCTCCCCTACCTCCAAATAGCCCAAAGCCCAGAGTAAGTTAAAACTGGGTTTTCAAGGATTAAAAATTTACTATATAAAATCTAATTATCCATACTGCTTCTCTATTTGACAGTCCAATTATGTCTGTTCCTAAACTTAAGGCTTCCAAATGATGAGTGTCTTTTGTATGCTTATGAGATGACAACTTGCTGGGGTCCCTGCCAGCTTCAGATTGTGGGTGTCCCAAAAGACCAAGACCTGACCTGAGGGTTGGAACTTCCAGCCTCATCCTTATTCACTAGATTAGGGAGAGGGGGCTGCAGATTAAGCTAATCATCAATTGGCAATGAGTCGATCAACCAGGCTAGGTAGTGAGAACGCCATAAACACCCTACAGTGAGGATTCAGAGAATCTCTGAGCAGAACGGATAGTAGCATGCTAGAAAGGGCATGAATGTTCCCTCTGCCCATACCTTTTCCTGTGCATCTCTTCCATTTAGCTATTCCTGAGTTGTATTCTTCCAAAAGTATTTTTCTAAGTTGTGTGAGTTATTGTAGGAAAATAAAATCTGAGGGTGTATGTGGGACCCTTGAATTTATAATTGCCTAGGCAGAAATAAAGTAGCTTGGGCACCCCATTTGTGGCTGGCATATGAAGTGGGGCAGTCTTTTGCGACTGTACCTTTAACTGTTATTAACTCCCACTATAAAAGTCAGAATTGAATTGAAATGCAGATCCCCAGTTGGTGCCTGGAGAGTTGGAGTGCTGGTGCAAGTTTAGTAAAAATACCCCAGACTCCAAAACCATTTTCCCTTCTTGGTTAGACACAATGCCACCAGTCTCTATAAATAGGTCAGCTCATGTCCTCTAACAACACACCTATTGGACCTGCCAACTGGACCAGAGCACATTTTCAACACACTGTATACCTCCTAAAAGACACTACTGAAGAGCCCCACAAAAAATTCAGATTTTTGGCTAATGCCATATATATAAAACAATTAGTGAAGCACTGCCCCTCAAGACTCTGTATCCTTCTATCTGTACTCCTCCTTTCTTTTCTTTTGTTTTTGTTTGGAAATGTGAATTCATTATAACACAATTGACACATTAGGCAACAATTTGAATTTTGTGTTTTCTTATGCACAATTTTTATCTGTGCAAAACACAAGATGAATGCAGAAAGCTGCACCCACCTGAAATGAGTCATGCGGTAATATACGAAAAGCACACAGCCATACATCTAAACATCTACCAACTACATCAGTTAACCACCCATGTTATGAACAAGACTCACCCTTACCCACCCAATTTAAGGTAACTTCCCTTCCATCATTTCACAGGAATACATAAGCTACAACTTTTCTGACACCCAGTCCTACCAGCAAATTAGGTCTATTCCAAAGTAAATAAAGTTCCATATTTATGGTAATATCTGTGATTTCCTAACCATGTAATCCATTGTACTCCTCCTTTCTTATTCTCATAATTAAGTATTTCTATTCTGTTCAGGGCAACTTATGCCCTGCCTCCAAGACTTCTCTACTACCATTACCCCCAGGCTTCCTTAATGTCAAAATATCAGAGGACTAATTGTAATGTGCATAATATACATTAGGTGTGGGCCAGTTCTGGAAACATGGCTGAGGGGCCTTGTAGAGGCACAAGTAATGCACAGAGACCAGGAAGGTCGGGGTGGCCAGGAGCCAGCAATCACAAGTGAAATGGCAGGTGAAAAAAGTGTTGAGCATGAGAAGAAAACAGAAATAAGGCGATGGCCACAAGCCTGTACACCAGAACACTGCTAGTCACACTGCAGGTTCCGGCCGGACCTGAACCCAACTGCCACCATCAGGACAAAGACCTCTCTGAGACCATGTTGCCATGTCCACCTTGTCAAACAGCCAGGACTCTCCCCACCCCCTGGCTGCACAATTCCATGGAGAGTGTATGATCTAAGTGTCAATGAAAGAGTGACAGGTAAGTAATCAGAAGTGGCCCAGAGCACTCAACACACAAAAGATCATAAGAAAAAAAAATTAGTATTACAAAAAGTCTGGAAGGAGGACCYGAGGACACAGTTCATGGTCCACATAAGCACTGATCATGACAATGCCTACACTTCCTGATAGAGACAGGATGAGAAAATCCTGGCTAGGAGGAGGCAGAGCTAGAGCAAAAGGTCTCATGGATATGAACACTGGCCAAGGGAAGGTCAAGGCAAGTGAGATCCATGAAGCTGACGGCACAGTGCCTGCCACCCAGACCTCCCACGAATGCTCTGGGGCAGCAGGTGTTAGGCTGCTCAGGCAGAGCACATGGCTTGGCACTGGCCCCACAGCACACATGTCAACACAGTGGGAAATTAGCAGAGCCCATGGTCTGGCAGAGCTGCCTGTGCGGGAAGAGAGGACAGACAGAAACCTGGACAATGGTAGTATAAGGGTCTTACCCAGAGAGGTTACAAGTGCAAAGTTTTCCAGCATCACGCGAAGGTACAGCAGCCTTTGAGCCTCATCAAGGAGTCCCCACTCCTCCTGGGAGAAGTAAACAGCCACGTCCTCAAAGGTGACACAGCTCTGTCATGACAGGACAGATCATGCAGTGATCAACTTCTCTACGGGGAGTCCAAGCTCATCTTCCCTACCCACTCTCCTCCCTGTTTTGTGCCTCCATGGAGATGCCACACCAAGTGTCACTCACTCTCACATCATGGTCCCTCGATCACTGTTTCTTCCCACAAAACCAACAGGCAGGTGGGCCAGGAGAAGTCATGTAATTCTGGATCTGGTAACTTGGGGTGGCACCCACGTTTGCCAGGCTCTATCCCAGGGTTCCCCAGATCATACTTCCCCCACACAGACACAGATGAGCATACCTTCACCCTCGTGTCTTCCATGCCAGTGCCAACAGGTCTCTCTCCCACACCATGTGCTCATCCCTTCTCGCGCAGACAGTCTCAGTCCCCAGGTGCCTCCACCCCAGCATCACACCACAGGCCTCTCCCTGGTCTCCCCACATTGCTTGAACAAGGCATCCAGAGAGCGTGGCAAACTGAGTCAGGATCCATGACCACTGACATAGGCAGCCCCATCCTGCTCTGTACTTCCTGGCCTGCCTGTTGCTTGCTCCAGCCTCTGTCACCAGGAACCACCTGGATAATCACCAGACACTGATGGCCTTCTCCCACTTGTGCTGCACTTGATGCCCCCTCATCAGTCACAGCCTTTTTCTCTCCTCAAACCATAATTCAAGACCTTGCTCCAGAGGCCCTCCACTCCAGGCCTGGTGACCTCCCAGATGACCACTTGTGTCCCTAAGCTAACCCACTAGCCCTACTAAAACCCCCAAGCATATCGAGGGTCACTCCTAAATCCCAGTGAGCCCAAAGTCTGATGAACAAACACAAGTATTGGCCACCCCATCATGGTGCCTCAGTTATTTTGAATTTCTGTATGACTCATGTCCACTCTTCCCATGGGAGCCTAGACATCTGCCAGACCAGCCACCTCCTCACACAATTCCCACAGCCACTGCATGTCCTCAGCTGTGTCTGTGATGACCACCAACTGTATTCAGGTGCTCAGGCATGGGAACCCATCATGGACCCCACCCTCCCTTCCCAGGGCTGCTTCTGGCATTACCATTTAAGTCTAGGATGTGCCTCCTAATTGTAATTCAAGGTACATATCCATGACAAACACCTGTCACCACTTTTTAGATTGATTTTTTTTTCTTTTTTGTAGTACTACAGATTGAACTCAGGMCCTCATACAGGCTAAGCAAGTGCTCTACCTCAGAGCCAAATACCTAGCCCTGTATATTTCCATTTTGAATTTGCTGCAGAGTTCCACATTTATGCAGTCAGCTACTAACTAGACATTTCCACTATTGCTTTTAAACATCTCACTCTTTTAAGGTAGCCAAAACAAAACTCCTGATACTACACAATGAAAATCAAACCAACTATCAGCTTTAACATTCTGGTTAGTGGAGATTCTACCCTTCCAGCTGCTAAAACTAAAAACAATGGAATCACCCATCTTTTTCTACTTTTTTCTCACTCTTAAATATGAAACCCAGGGGGTGTGCAGCTTAGTGGTAAAGCATTTGCCTAGCACGTGTGAAGCCCTTGATTCAAGACCCAGCACCACAAAACATAAAATGAAACACCCTAATGAAAAACCAAAACAGAATCCAGCCACGCCTGGCCACTACAGTGGTCCAGCCACATCAATTCTTACTTGAGCACAACCATAGTCTGTTTTTGCTGCAGTCACATTAAGCCTCATAAGGTCTGGCGGGATAACCTTCCTCCTAGGCTCCAAACCTCCCACTGCTCCCATCACTTCCAGAATAGACTCCTAACATTCCAGACCTGACTTCTGCACCCCTGCTCTCGTGTGCCATAAGAATGAAAGGAAATCTATGGTCCCGAACAAGCTCAGTCTCACACTCAAACATTTCCACATTCCTGGACCTATTCACGGGGTACCCCTTCATCACTCAGCCCATTGGTCACTACTAGTTACAACAGAAACCATTCCATACGGCCTCAGCCTAGGTTATGACCTGGTTTGGGTGTTTCCTCCGAGTTCCCAGGTCCAGGAGCCTACGCGTGGCAGGCAGAGTCCCAGGACACAATTCCACAGACTCAGAGCGGGGGCACCAACGAGGCCCAGGAACCGACTCCACTTACCTGCATCCAGTCCATAAGCGCTTCCGTGGTCAAGGGAATCTGTGGAAAGAAGGTGGTGAGGGGCTAGGGATCCCGGCAGGACTTCCTGGGCTCGGGACCCCCGTTTCCCGCCCGGCCCGGAGTTGCGGAGTCTGCATTATCCCCGGCCGGGTCCTGRGGCACAGGACTCCACCTTCCTGGCTGCAGTGCGGGCCCCTGCTCAGGCCCTTCAACTCTGGGCCGCTCCTGGACCGCCGACGAGCCTGACTCAGACCGTGTCCCCCGCTAGCCTCGTCTCCGCCTCCCCGCMCCTGCCGTCGGCGGCCCGGGCCCAGCCGCGCGCGGTCCCGCCGCAGGACCTGAAGGGCGGCGAGACGCGCAGAGGGGCGCAGCCCCTCCCGGGCCGGTCCCGCGGGGCCGGGCCGCGCGACTCGAGCCTGCCGGGGGCAGCTGCGGGGTCACCCTGCCCGCGCCTTCGCCATCCCCTCACCTCGACCCCGGCTCCACGCCCCACAACTTCTGACGGCAAAAACGGTTCCCGGGCGCGCCTACGACCCACCGGGCAGCGACGCCGGAAGTCCCGGACAGCCCCGCCCGAAACAGGAAACGGCCGCTCATTGGCTCAGCTCTCCGCCACTCGGCCCCGGGCATTGTGGGTAACGTAGTCTCCACGGCCCCGCAGCCGTGCTGACCGGTGACCAGGGTCCGTTAGTCCTGCCTCCCTGGGTCCCCGTGTTGTCCCCGCCGGCCGGCGGGGTCCTCGATGTGCACGGGGGCGCCTCCAGCCCCCCCACGTGAGACCACGTGGAGTCGGAGCGGTCACAGCGCGGGTCCCCTCCCGAGCCCCGCCGAGCCCGAAATGTTACCCGGCTCAGGTCGAGTGCCGGCGGGTCCCGGGCTGACTTCCCACCCCGCCTGGTCTTGCGGGAGTAGAGGACAGTCTCCTGGCAGGTCAGAAGTCCCTCTTCAGTGGGCTTGCTGGAACCTGCTGGAGATAAGAAGCTGCCTCATGATACTCCGCCCTTTATTAGCCTGTCCCTCCTTCGTTTCTTCCTGACTCCCCACGGGGTGAGAAGTGCATTCGCAAGTTTATCTCCCACTTATATTCTTTCTCTCTCCTACACTCACTCTCACACACACACACACACACACACACACACACACACCATAACTCAAGGGAAGCTTTTCCAGGTTTTGTGGACATTAAAAATACGGTTTGCCTTACTTCGCTTGAACTGAATGCTACATCTAATTAAAAAACCAAATTCGATTAAAAGGACTTATCAACCAGATAGTTCTCCAAAGTATAACATCCTGATCTACTGCGCCAAGAATTTTCATTTATAAGACCATTTCCCTGTCACGAGTGAGCTATTAACATAGAAGGAGCATGTTGGTGTCTTTCCACAATGTCATAATTTATTGAATAACAAGTCACAAACGACACCATTTTCATTGGTTAGTTCACAGAATAATTGTGTGTCATAAGCCAGGAAATCACAATCTTAATTTCTAATGAAGGGTTAAGGCACTCACATGAGTCCAGAAAGCTAAGCTGAGAGCAAAGGCCTTAGCAGAGACCAATGCAAAGAGTCACTATTGTGGTCATGAATAGATAGGACAGACAGATGGTGAAACAGGCAGTTAGGCCAATGGGCACCATAAAGACTTCTCTAAATGTAAAGGCCACTCCACGAAATTAACCTGTAGAAACTTTCCAAACATTCCAGCCAATTCCTTTTCTGAGTAAAGGCTACAGACTCAAGGGCTAAAGGCACAACAGCCAATCAGAAGGTCACAGGCCACACCAATAGCCTTGGCACTTGCCAATACCTGATCAGCATAGATAGTGAGCAGTGTCCCCACAGAGTAGCTACATTATCCCCTAGATAGTACATGTGGGTGAAAAAACGCTGTTTCTTTCTTTCTTTTTTTTTTTTTTTTGAGTAATTTCTACTCTTTCATTTCCACTCTCCATTGTCCATGGATTTTATTCTTCTAAACTGTGAGGCAAGAACCCAGAAAGAAGTCACTGGTAAGTGGCTGGGGTCTGCTGAAATGCTAAACAGGCAATTGTCTGCTCTGGAGGGTTACAACAAAGTTAGACCCTTCCTGTTCCTGCAGCACCAACAGATTGGGTCCTGCCAGCTAAGACCAGTCACTCATGCCAGTGGGCAACCCCTGCAGTGAGTAGCTGCCATGGCCACAGAGGGCTACAGCCCACCTGCCATGGCCACAGAGGGCTACAGCCCACCGGCACCGACAGCGGCAGAGGTGAAGAATTCAGTTTCAGTCAGATAAGATTGTGAACTTGTGCTCTGAGCTCAGGGCTGTCAAAGAAGAGGAACTTATTCTAGGTCCAGGTCTGGACAGATGGTAGATTCAGTGTCAGCTTGGAGTGGACTGTGTGTGGTCAATACGAGCAGGAGAAATTGCACTCTGCTAAAGCCCAAGGACAAGATTCAGAGGGCCTTCAATGTGATTTTCCTGAGCAAGCCTTGTGACAAATGACCAGGTGACAGGGTTAGGGTGCTGTCATGTCCAGTCTTGAGGGACTCCTCCTTTTATGGACCCCAAGTGAGGGGTTGCTTCGTTCAGAGGTCTGGTATGCTTGATAAGCTTGTGGACTTGGTCTTTCTGGTGTGGTCTGATATACCATGCACCTTTGTGCTTCTAATTAGTTTGATAAGTTCATGGGTGGTCATTTTTACTGTCACAGTTTCTTTATCAGTTTGTGCCTTTGGTGGTGGCAGGCAGATGGTGGTTGTTTACTGGGACCAACAAGGTGTAGTCATTCCACCTCAGCACAGAAAACGGGGTGGCTTGTGGAAAACTGCTCTACAAATGGAGTAACTCGGATTTAGGCACAGCCTGAAAACTTATGTTTTATACATTATGGAGTAACTCACAGCAGGCCACACTCCTGCTGACTAGAAAAATAGGGAACGATGTGAAACTACATAACACATATCATCTTTAGACCTATGGCCTTCACTGGGCCTTTGCTTACTCCCTTCTCAGTGATGTTTCCATTTAACTTCTGTGTCTTTGAGACATAAGTTTTCTACTTTGCTTCAACAAAGTCACTTTTGGAAGTGCAGATTTGGGGTGTGAGGACTGTTAACACTAGGCTAAATCTTAAGCAATCATGCAAAGAATTTAAGCTGTGTTTTGATGAGAAAACTAAAAAGTCTGAAGTATTTTTACCCTATTTAGAAAAAGAGTGATTCAGGGCTGGGATGTATCTCAGTAGTAAAGCCCTTATCTTGCATGTGCAAGACCCTGGGTTCAATCCCCAGAACCACAAAAAAGTAATTTGTTGAATTCATAAATGTTGCAAGTATTGCATCAAAATGCAAATTTTTAAAATGTTAAGACAAATAGAAATTAGTGAATAAAAAGAGGTGTAACAAAGTTATAGGCATGATGGTATATTTTGGTGAAGAAAGTTAAAAGGAAAAGGGAATGTTTTGGGATGAGAAAGAATTTTTTGTGGAAAAATTAGGTTTTTGTCCCATAAAAATGACTAGATTATTCCAAGTTGGGAAAAATAAAGATAGGAAAAAACTAAGGATTTAAACAAGTTGTCTTAGTAAGTCAGAGAAGGTTTATAAAAGAGAAATCTTATACATTTTTGCGATTGTTACCAGAGGTTGAGAGTCAGCTGAGGAGTGAATCTGTCACTAGACAAGAGCGCCAAAAACATTCACTGGAGAAAACACAGCCGGTTAAACAAATAGTGCTGGCAAAACTGGAAATCCACATATAGCGGAATAATAGGGTTTTTTTTAAAGTAATAAACTCCAAAGAAGGAGCTATGTCCTCCAGTCTCAATTTATATCCAAGGTACTCCCAAAAGCTAAAGAAAATTACAGATGTTAGAATTGAGACCCACGACTTTCACGTCAAGATGGATGAAACTGGCCTTCTGGTGTTCGACATCTAGGACATGGAGACAAAAGCCAAGGAACATTAAATGGCTGAGAGGATAGTCAACCAGGACTTAGGGCCTTTTAGGTCCTGCAGCTCTAGTGGATCACTGCATCTCCAGCCAGGAGCATAAGGAGGACCCTAGAAACAGTAGCCAAACCATGTACAGTTTTCAGAGGTGAGGATCATCCAAAACAGAAATGTCCCCAGTCCTTCCAAGGGAAGCCATGTGGTCAGGAATATCTGGGTCCATTCCCACAACGCCGGCATAACTAACACAGAAAAAGAATGAGAAGTCTTGAATGGCCTTCACAGTAGCAGGGAACTACAACCCCAAACAGATGTACTAAAATAAGGATAGARACAAGAAAGAATTAACAGTCATGCATAGACAATTAAGGAAGAGACAGTGACCCTTTTAAATGAAATTTATAAAGAAACTGTCCAAAGAAAGGGTCCTTATACGTGATTGCCTGATGATGACTATCGAAAAGGACTGTGCCAGACCACAAATCTGCAAAGAAGCCACCACACTTCAAATGCCAAGGATCTCTGTAAGGACATCTGTATGGTAACTGTTCAACCTTAGACTGAGGCCACTTTTGTTTTTAATCTCTGTGGCCAAAGATCATTGTTATTTTGATAATTTGGCAGGTTAAAAAAACTTTTTAATGATATCTCATTACTGTTCTTTATTCAATGGTCTTAGTTAACAGTTAGTCTATGTTTTGTTTTTTAGTCGCATTCCTTCCCAGGCCATTGGTCATTTGGGGGAAAGAAACACCACTCAACAGATGGAGAAGTTGATGGTAATGAAAAGCAGAGAATAAAGAAAGGTAGAGTTTTTAGGACCTTCATTGAGAAGGAAGCAGATAGAATTAGACCAGATCTGAGAAGGGGCTCTGGATATTGCACTATAAACTCAAGAAAAGGCACCAGGGGCTGCAGTGTTCAAGGAGAGAGACAGACACGTTCGAGCAGTCCCCAGCCATGCCTGTGGTGTCTCAGTCTGCCCAGTGCAGCAAGTCTGTCCGAGCAGCTCAGACACCATGAGTCAGACCCTCCAGTGCCTTCAAAAATTGCAAGGTACACTCCGGGTACCATCTGACTCTCAGAAGATCCCTGTCTTCAGTGAGAGAAGGCATTAAATGAACTCATGTAGACTTACTAATTTAAAGGTTTACTGTCAATAAAGTGAGTTCCCTGGTCCACTTCTCTACTGCCGGGGTCCTGCCCCGGCGGGGTCCAGGGAGTCCTGAAGGAGGAGTGGYGTCGGCGAAAAGATGAGACAGGAGTCATTCCGTTTGAGCAATCTTCAGAGAGAGAGCTAAAGCAGCTTTCTCTGGGTCCCCTTTTATTACAATTTTTCTCATCATTATAGATTCACAATACGTCATTGATTATATAAYTTAAAACTTTGCCAAGACATGACATTTCCTTAACCATGATTGAGAGCACACCAATCTACATCCTTCCAGGATATGACCCCCAGCCATACAATCATCAAAGTACAGAATCATCAATAAAACATGTCACCAATTTACATCCTTCAGATTTTCCCAAGATTTACTATTTTTCCCAAGRTATGTTATTTTCTTATTAACTAATGCCAAACTACGTAACCAGACTCTAAGTCTCCTAA